ATTTGGGGGGGGGGGGAAAGAGCCTAGCAGAGAGCTATTCATCTAGGGGACACTTCATAAGGGTGCTACAAAGGGAGAAAAGGATTTCTAGGAGCTATGAGATACACTTTTAAAAAATATTTTGAAATTAATTTATTTTGAATTATCAACAATCATGAGATACTTCATATATATATATATATATATATATATATATATATATATATATATGTATATATGACTCATTACTTTGTTTTTAAATTTTTAGCCTGCTTTCCCCAGAGACCTTGTGAGTGTAAGGGAAAAGTATACCCATGGTCTGAAGAGAATGTTTGTACCCTCCATTAAAGTAAATCCCTTTTGTGCAAAAAAGTAAAAAATAAAAATTACTGGCTGATAATCAACAATAATAACCCACTGGTGAAGGCTCACAGTACTAGAAAAACTTAGCCCCTCAAGATTTTACCTCATGAATTTCAAGCAGTAGTAGTGATTTGTCCTTTAGTAACCTAAACTGTCAATGCACGTGGAAGTTAGGAAGGTAAGCCTAGAGCGATACTCTTATACACAGTCTCTTAAATCAGAATGGTTGAAATGAATCAAAACAAACTAATACCCATCCATTTCAGCTTATGCCTTCCTCATCCCACATGATCTTCCATCAGTTCCTACCTTAAACCCCTGTCTTCGAAGGAGGCACCTTTCCACCTAAAATGTGAGTCCCTACTGGCCAGCTGAGGTATTACAAATGAAATAATCCATGAAAAGTGATTTGCAGATCTTAAAGTACTATATAAATGTTAGTATAATTACTCTTTCTCCAATATGCAATTGAGTTCATTTAAAACTATATCATCATAGGAAATTTATAACTTAATAGCCAATATGACTGTATTATATATGTGTAAATAAATACAGAGGTACCTAATATGCATAAATAATATATATTATATATAATAATATCACATGACATGTGATACATGTACTACAGGGCTAATCCTGTGAAGAACCCTGTAGGAAAGACTACTATAAGGTACTACATGTAAGCTATTACATATTTATGTACGCACACATACACACAAATATATATACAAAACATACATGCATGTGTATATATGTTACATATAGTAGATGTGCACCGTAATAGTCAATATGTATTACAGCACATTATATAATATACATATACTTGATGACAGACCTAATATTTATATTACATGTAATATAACACGTCACATAATATAGCACAATACACAGTACAATATAATATGTTATATGGTATGTCAATAATAAAATAACATGCAATTCACAACATATTATATAATATACATATAATACATTATACATAATATACATGTTAGGTACCGAGTTACATTTATTATATAATGTAATAGAACACAATCATATTGGCTATTAAGGTGACTATCTCACATATATTCTATAATATAAAATATATAATGGTGTATAATATACATAATATAACACATCCTGTAAATAAAGCAATGTGTAATATAGAATATATGTATACAAATATAACATGACACTGTAAATATATACAATTTAGGTATCTAGTCATATCATATATTATGCATATTATACTGTAATGCAATTGTACTGACTATTAAGGTGGACATCTCATATATATGTATATGTATATATTATTCATAACATACAATATACTATACTATATAATGGTGCGTCTAGGTGGCGCCATTGTGCACAGAGCACTGGGCCTGGAGTTGGGATGATTCATCCTGAGTTTAAATCTGGCCTTAGACATTTACTAGCTGTGTGTCCCTGGGCAAGTCACTGAACCCAGTTTGCCTCGGTTTCCTTACCCATCAAATGAAATGGAAAAGGAAATGGCAAACCACTTCAGTATTTTTGCCAAGAAAACCCCAAACGGGGTCATGAAGAGGACACTGACTGACCAACAATAAAATATAATACAAATTATATAACACCATGTGTATAACAGATCATGTTATATGCCATATAATACGCAGTATAACATAGCATACTGTATACTATATGCTTCATATAATGTACAATAAATACAATATACTATATTATATAATGTACTATATTTTTATATATGACATATGATTCATCTAATTTTAGACAGGGTACTTTGTATATATTATATATAACGTAATAAAATTGTACTGGCTATTACGATGCATGCCTCTCTGGTACATATGTTATCTACGTCACAGTGATTACTCCGATCGCCCCTCATCCTCTGCATGAAGGCAAGATTTTTTTTTATGTCTCCCCCAGGGTTCTCTGCCACCATGAAGGGGGCTTGGGGGCATCGAGTTTCTGCCACTGAAGGTTTTAGCCATCACCAATTATACTCAATCAATTTCAGGGGATGCTTTGCACCCCAATTCTATTTAACCATTTTATAGTCAGCTTAGTTTTTACAAAGGAATATTTACTTCAAAGATATAGCAAGGAAAAAACATATAAACAGCTTAACTCAGTTGCCACACAGCACAGCCTCACTAAGTTCCAAGTGTTCCCCTCCCCCCTCGTGTTTCTGCCCTAGGCTTTTCTGGGCTTCCTAGCTGGTGTGGCTACAATATCTTGCTTGGAAGCCTGCCTCCAAAGTTTCCATAGCTCAAGCTGGAGGGGGTGGGGTGGGGGCAGAGAAGTACAGGGACTCCCCTGCCCAGCAGGTATGGAAAAGGAGAAGCAAACAGAACAACTCCAAGGTCATTTCCTGAGGCCCCTGTGCTGTAGGGGAATAGGATCTTCACCTACCCCCAAGGGAGGACGGGAACTGTCTCAGGCTCGTCCTTTTAAAGATGCCACCTGTTGTGGCTTCACAGCCAGGCACATGTCCAAAACTGCACTAGTTACTCCCCTCACTAAACTTGCCTCTCTTCCTCCCCACTTACTCGCTGGTACCACCATCCTTTCGTCCCGAGTCTCCCTCCCACTCACATCCAAACTTTTGTTTGAATCTTATTGATTCTACTTCCGACAACATCTCTCATATCTACCTCTTCTCACTGTGTCATCAGCCTAGTCCAGGTTCTGAGTTAGCATCAGAGCCTCCTGCCTGGTCTCCTTATCTGTCAGCATTTCATATTGATGCCAAAATAATCTTCCCGACGCACAGGTCCCATCGTGCAACTCCTCTGCTCAAAGACCTTCCCTGCCTCCCTAAGGAACCTGTGTTCCTTAGCTGGGCATTTAATGACCTCTGCATTCTGATTCCAACATAACTTTCTAGCCAAACTAGCTATGTTCCCTGATCTTGTCTGGCAGTCTCTCCCCTCCATGAATTTGTCCATGCCTGGACCATAAGGTGATCATAGATTTGGAGCTGGAAAACCTTAGAGTTCATTTTTATATAATGCCTACTATGTGCCTAATCCAATCCCTTCATTTTATAGGTGAGAAAACCACTTCACAGGCCTTTCTGAGGACCCAGAAAGGTATCCAGTATAACTGATACCACATCCTGAACGCACTAGGCCCTTCCAGATCCTACCAAATTTTTGCGCTTCTTATTATCACTGGTGCCCACACAGGTAGCCATTTAATGATGATTGGATGGGACTAGACTTGTAGGAATTTTCTGTATTTGCTAGCACGAGGAATGCAATTCAACGGGAAAGAAAAAAAAAGAAAACTAAAGAAAGAGAAAAGGAAAAATTAGTGCCTGCTAAGAATGAGGCACAATCCTAGGCTCTAGGAATGTAAAGACAAAATAGCCACTTTCATTCTAGTCTGCAGGTATGTTGGTGGGGGTGGCGGGAGCAGAAGAGAATACCAAATATAACCAATATAGATACACAGTAATTTGAGGAAGTAAGTAACAGTAACACCTGGTGGGAAGAGGAAAGGTCTTGTTCAAGAGGTGACCTCTGTGCTTTGAAGGAAGCATTCCTTAGTAAGCAGAAGGCGCATTTCAGCCATGAAATTGGAAGTCTCATTTCTAATTCCTGTTAGAAAAGCACCTCTTCCTAAAGGGGTAGAACCAGAAGACTCCCTGGCGTCCTCACATCTGACTTCTACGCACCCAGCCACCGCTCGAAGATCTTCCCCGAAGGAGGGCGCCTACTTCCCCATTGGGCTGCCCCATGTGCATTTTTAGAGAGTTCTTCTGTTGGAATGGGTTGGCCACCACCCTACAAGGGGTTTTCCTCTGGCGGCCACCAAGTCTACTTAAGAGCAAAGCAGTCTCTGGCTCTGCCTCCCTTAACGCTAGTGCCTTCCCTCTGAGACCACGGCCAACTTCTTCTTTGGGCACCATGTTGCACGCAGTTGTTTGCACGCTGTCTCCCCCGTTAGACTGGGAGCTCTTGAGGGCAGGGACTGTCCTTGCCTTTCTTCCTATCCCCGGCGCTCGGCCCAGCGCGGGAGCTTCATAAATGCCGACTGGACTGGATCGGCTTAGTTCTGCGCCCAGCGTTTAGCACAGAGACAGGGCTCCTAAGAGGCACTTAATGATGCTACCTGACTGACTTAGGCAGAAAATGAAGGTGGAGCTTGGGGAACGCGCGCCGGAAAAGCCAGCGTACGAGCGGTTAAATAGCCAAAGTAAGTGGAGTGCGAAAGGACTGAGCAGCACCAGAACCGCCACCTTCTTCTGGCCCTCATTCGCCGGCAGCCAGGTCCTTATATAGGCGGGCTTGCTGACGTCACTCCGACCCTTGACCCTGCCCGGCACCGCCCCGGAGGCGGGGCCATCGGGAGCTCCCGAGACGGTTCCCCCAGCCCGGCTCCCAGTAGACGAGCTGGCTCTCCGACCTCCCGGGCCCCGGGTCCGACCCAGACTTACCTATTGGTCGGCTTCCTGCCGAAGAGGCCAGGCTCGGCTTAAGCCTCTCCTCCCGGGCGCGAAGGCACCTCCCCTGTCAGGGAGGGTCCGGGGCGCCCGCCATCTTGGGCTCCGCGACGCTGCTCGGCGGTGGCTGCTGAGGCGGCTCCGGGCACTGATTTTCCCCTCCCCCGCCCCCGCCCCTCCCGGTCTCGCGGCGGCTGCGGCGGCGGCCACGGTGGCGGCGACGACTCCTCCCGCTGGGGGGCGCGGCAGCGGGGGCCATGGCGGCGACCGCCGCAAACCCTGGTGAGGAGCCTGCAGCCCGGGCGGGGGGGGGCGGGCAGGGGGACAGGCGGGCGGGACTGGGCGGGGGGCGGCCTGGGCCCGAGGGGGCCGGGAGGCGCGGGGGGGGGCGGCCACCCGAGGGGAGGGGGAGGGGGAGCCGGGGGAGCCCGGGGTCCCGGGACGGGGGCTGGGGCTGGGGAGGGAACCCGAAGGAGGGAGAGAAAGGCTGGAGACGGAGGGGCGGCGCCGGGGCGGGGGACGATTGCGTCCGGACTAGTGTGCGTGGTGGGCGCGGGGCCGGGCCTGGGGGTCTGCCCGTCCTGCCCCCTGCCCCCGGGGCGCTTCTGCTCCTTCTAGGGGTCGCTTGGGTTACTTGGGCATGAGAGGTACCTGGGGCTGTAAGTGCGGAGGAAGGAGGAGCGGAATTCACGGCACTAGGGGCTGCTGCTTAAAAAGGGGGCATTGTGTCTTCCCAACCCCGGGGGTGTGTGTGTGTGTGTGTGTGTGTGTGTGTGTGTAGATATGATTTAGTATGTACATGCAAACATATGCATAGTATGTATGCGCATATAGCATAGTGTATATGTGTATATATTATTTATTATGTATGGTACCTACATACTATATGTAAGCATTGGATAATATATACATAGTATATGTGTGTATATAATAATAGTGTGTATTGTTAAGTCGTGCCCAACTCTTCCTGACCACGTGGACCGTACTGTCCCGGGGGTTTTCTTGGCAAAGATACTGGATATTTCTCCAGTGGATTAAGGCAAACAGAGGTTAAGTGACTTGCCCAAGGTCATACAGCTGATCAGTGTTTGAGGTCTTTCTGACTCCAGGCTTAGTACCCTATCCATTGAGCCACCTAGCTGCCTCTTATAGTATGTATAGTATTGTGTATTTTAGTAAATACATACATATATACACATATGTAAATATGTATGTATATACACACTGTGTATAAACATGGATAGTATATACATTGTGTGTAAGTATTGCATATATGCTAGTTAACAAATGTACTATATATGAGCACATGGATAGTAAGTACATAGTATATATAGTGTATATTTAGTACTGTGAGTACACACATTAGTATATATGCATACTATATACAAGCATATGGATGGTATATCCATAGTATATATGTGTGTATATTGTGTGTATATATATGTATGTAGTATTTAGTGTATTTATACTGTATAATGCATATATCTTCTTTATTATGTGTGTGTGTATAGATAGATGGTTATGTAGATATAACCGTCTCTCTTTCTCTTTTTCTCCAGGGTGTCCAAAGGTCTTGGTAGAATTTGAAGCTATTTAAACTATTAAAGTTTTAGCTTCAAACTTCACTAAGACTTTTGGGACATCCTGTATCTTTAAAATTTGTGGGAGAATAGGTTTATTTAAATTTTATAGAAGAATAGGTGGTCAGGAGACTCACCTGGACTCTACTTTTAGACTTGGGTTTGTCTTTTAAGAGACTTGGGTTCCTAGGTAGTGTAGGCACGCGTGCGCGTGTGTGTGTGTGTGTCTGCCTAGATAGTTAGGAAATATGGACTATGATTCAGAATTAAGACTTTCAGAAGCTTAGATTCAAATCTTACTATGGTTAGGTTGGGTTAGTTTCCTGTCTTTCAGAATTTTGTTTACATGTTGAGTAATCTAGATGGGGATTTCTTTTCAAAAGAATCAGTTCAGCAGATATCCACGAGACACAGCATGGATAGGTGAAGGATTTGCTAAGTGTTTGTTGACGTATTTGGTATCAAGTCCTATACCTGGCATCAGGAATAACTGACCTGAGTTCAAATCTTGTCTCAGACATGTACTAGCTATGTGACCTTGGGTAAGTCACTTAACCTCTGCCTCATTTTCCTCATCTGTAAAATGGGGATGATATAGCACCTACCTCACAGGGTTGTTCTGAGAATTAAATGAGATAATATATGAAGCATTTTGCAGTAATAACTATATAAATGCTAGCTATTACTATCATAATAATTGTTATTGCAGTAAACTGACAAAATTCTTGTTTTATTTCTGCCCCTGGTTGGTCTGTGGCAAGAGACTTAATCCTTTTCTGCCTTATTTTCTAAGTAACATGACTTGGTTTAAATTATTTTTAAAAAATAGATGGACTACAAGATTTTTTTTGTGTGAGGCAGTGGAGGTTAAATGACTTGCCCAGGGTCACACAGCAAGTAAGTGTCAGGTGTCTGAGGCCAGATTTGAACTCAGGTCCTCCTGACTCCAAGGCCGGAGCTCTATCCCCTATGTCACCTAGCTACCCCCTTAGATGATTTTTAAAAGTTTCTTCTAACTTCTAAAATTTAGAGATTCTATAATTCTCAATGTAATTTTTCCTGGAGATGAAGGGATGAAATGACCCCTCTGTAGGGTTCTGATGGGATTTTAGAAAAAGATTCTTCTCATTTTTCATCTTGGCACTAAGTAGAGCTGAAACCCCAAGAAGAGGTAAAAAGGTTTGAAAGGGGCTGCTTTCTTTTGGTGACCTTTGGATTCAAATGGAAAATGCTGCCTAAGCATTTCCCAGTAGCTTAGATTTGTCACTCTGGCTTTTTGGTCAGTTTCTTTTTAAAGGAGTAGCATTTCTAGAAAGTGAGGCAGTCGGGCACATTGATTTTCTTGTGTTGGTTTTTGTATTAAAAATAGGTCTCCCTGGATCATCCAGTGTACTTGGAAATTTAAATGGAACCCCTGGAAAAAAATTATCATTTTACAATAGTAAGAATTTGATAACATCTAATTTCAATTATTGCGAATACTTTTTACTAGTTTTTCTGCATTGTTTCTATAACAAGAATATCTGGATGTTAGAAAAAAATATTCAGTCCCTGCCTCCTGTCTCCCTTAATGTTCATTATATGTTCCTTATACCTAAAACTTTTTTTCAGAGAGAGAGAGAGAGAGAGAGACAGTTTGAGAGATAATGCCTGAAATTATATTGCAGGAAATTCTGAGCGATGAAATGAAACTAGAAAGGTGCTTGTTATTGTAAATCTCACCTTGTAATAAAATGACATCTTTGAACCATGAAACAAATAAATAAGATTTTGAACTGATCACATTGCAAAAGGTAATATAACACCAGCCAGCCAAGTTGCAAAACATTTCCTAGTATTTAATAGCAGCTTGGGCAAACGAGTTGTCTGAAGTGAATTTTTCTTCAGTGTGGGAATAAAGTTTGTGTGTGTGTATGTGTGTATGTTAAACCAACAAAACTCATGATCACATTTTGTTGAACTAATTAATATTAGCTGAAATCTTGTAAGGCAAGAATAACATTTATTTGAGCAGGTTCATTTGTTCTTTGATTGCCTCTGTAAATTCAGAAAATAAATTTAGAAGTTAAAAAGTGAATAATTCTTAGAAATAATTGATTGCATTTTATTGTATTTTGTTATGTTGTTTTTTTGCCTTTTTTTGGTGAGGCAGTTAGGGTTAAGTGACTTGCCCAGGGTCACATAGCTAGTAAGTTTCAAGTGTCTGAGGCCGGATTTGAATCCAGGTCCTCCTGTCTCCGAGGTCAGAGCTCTATCTACTGTGCCACCTACTGCCCCTGCATTTTATTTTTGAGTTGTTTTTGTTTTCTTTTTGCATAGCAATAATTGTCACTCTTTTAAAAAGTGTAATTAGTGCTAATCAGTACCAAAAACCTTGCACAGGAAAGATTAGTAAAAAGGACACATCACTCAAATGTATACTCACATATGTGTGTGGATATATACATTATATGTATTTTTTGGTCCAGCTCCGTGATTTCATTAGTGTCGTCCCTCCCATGTTCAGATGGACAACACTGATATATAATTTATAGTTTTAGAGTTGCTAAGGGGCACCGAGGTTAAGTGATTGCCAGTAGGCATAGAGGCAGGAACTCGAACCAGCTCTTCTTGACTCCAAGGCCAGTCCTTCATCCACTGGGCTATCTTGCCTGCCATGCTTCATGTACATATACGGAATGTCCCAAGAAGCCTTTAAGCTATTAAAATTTAAAAGTGCAGTAAGACTTTTGGAATGTCCTGTAAATTTCTCAGAAAATTTATTTCCTTTATTCCTTTTTGCTTGAATGCCTCAAAATGAGGACGTCATAGATTAAATTTCCAATTATAATTCAATATCTTTTTGCCATATTTTATATGCTTAATGCAAAGGAAATATAGCTAACATTTAAGTAGCACTTTAGGGTTTACAGGAATGTTTTATATATATATATTTTAAATTCTTTTGTTAATTTTGAGACAGCTCCTCTTTACAAATAAGAAACTGAGACTGAGACAACATATAAGTGAATTGCTTAAGATCACATACTGCACCAGGTGGAATTTGAACTCGGGTCTTTTTTATTCCTTGTCTATCATTCTCTTCACTACACCAAACTAATTGCCAAATAAGATAGGTTGTTTTTATTTTTGTTTTTGTTTTTTTTTTTTTTGAATGGGGAAACCAAGGGATTGATTGCTTGAGAAAGGAAAAGGGAATCAGCAGTCAATGAATACTTGTTGAATTGAGTGCTAAGGGAGATAGGTTGGTGGACACCTTGAAGGACACCTATGATTTCCAAATCACATTGAAAATCCTTCACTTAATCAAACAACAGTACTGACTGTAAATAGATGATCTCAGAAGAAGTTTCTTGGAGACAGTAAAGTAAATTAATCTTGTATGTCTTGGAAAGTCATATTTGGAGAATCAGTATAAGATCACTTATAACTAAAATATTGAGCAATCTTTTAATAATAATAAGGTAGAAGCACCTATAGTAAAACTTGTCAGCCTGTACTTCTGAAGGATAAGTAGGCAGAAGGGAAAAGGCACTGACATCAGAAGACTAGAATTCAAATCCTGACCCTGTTGCTTACTACATGTATGACCTTGGGCAAATCACTTAACCCCTGTGGGCCTCATTTTTCTCACCTTTGAAATGAGAGGATTGTAGACACATTACTACTTGACGTCTAAGGTCCTTTCAGTTTTCACATCTG